GTTTATAGGGCGAATTAATGTGCCGGTGTAAGAGTTTGTTCATTGCTGTACGAGGGTTATAATTAACTTTACGAAAATACCTAAAACTTTTACAAAATAACTAAATTTTTTATCAACATTACAACACTCGACTGGTGGAAATTATTGTGACCCAACTGTATAAGGTGTACCTTATGTCACCCCCATTAACAAAGGCGTGCCTGACATACACGCACACTCGAGACCGTGTCGTACGGAGTTGAGTGCCGATACACGACACCCGTATTGCTTTCAACCCACCAGCTTTTTATGGTGTTGTTACGTCACTAATTGTAAGCTTGTCACTAGGCCTGTCACGATAATTAATTTTGTTGGACGATAAATTTTTCTGGAAATTATTGCGATAAACGATAATATTGTCGGCACTGTTTTTAAGACCATTTTAGACATAATGATAATATATAATAATAATTCAAGTACATCCTTTCAAACATAACTTTTTATTGAACATTCAACATTGCAAATGAAATGTGAAATAATATTAAAATATATAAATTATATCTAATAAATAAAACAAATTAATTAAATTATAATAAATTAATTAAATCACACACAACCAAAACAATAAATTAAATAGAGTCAGGCTGGAAAACAGAGCTCTCTCTCTCATATATATATATAAATAAATAAATAAATAAATAAATAAATAGGAGCACACATTATCTCACAAGCAGAAAAAACCTCCTTAAAACAACAGTCAAGTGTACAGTCCACTGTCAAAGACCCAGATGCCTCAACAGGCCATATCCAAATCTGTTTTTCTAAGTTTTCGAAGCAAGGAACACCAACATGTTTGCATTGTCGGGCGGGGGCTCTCCATCTCCAGCTGCCGTGTTTGCTCCCAGCTGGAAAAACGGAATGGGGTGGTTGTGTTTTAGGTGGTTTAAAATGCGTGGTATTGCCTGCTTTTGTCGCTACCTTTTTTAAACCAATGCGACACACCGCCCGGCTCATTCAAGTCCGTAGGTTCGCCTCGTTGATTTGGTTTGAATCCAAAATACTGCCACACCGGAGAATCGAGATGTGTAGTTAGGTTTTGTAACCAATTCCATTTCACTTTAAATTCCCCGCGAGTAAGTCACACGTTGTCTCCCGCTTGTCGCTATATTATTAATTTGGCTGCTACGCTGCTGCACGTGCACGCGGAGTGTCCTGACCTGGCTGTGTGTCAGCCCCGCCCCTCACAGCGCGCCTGGCAGCCACAGCGCTCCAGGCTAAAATGCTGGTCACATCTTTATGTAAACGGCAATTTATCGAGCTCAGAAAAGTTATCGAGTCCATTTTTACTTATCGTATGATAAGTCAATTTATCGATTATCGCGACAGGCCTAGTCTCACTAATCATGTTTCTTTTCTTTTTGTATAGGTGGCCAGCAATGTGTATCCATGGAGACAAGAGCCAGCCAGAAAGAGACTGGGTACTTGCAGGTAAGAATAACACAGGGCTGCCACTTTCCTCCCCATTTCCTCGTCTAAACGGTTGTTCATCTGTCAGAGGGGCCAAGGACATTAGACAATAGTACACCTTTATAAAGACTCCTGTAGGTGAAGTGTTTTAAAGTAACTCCATCACTCCAGCAGAAGAGTACGATTTGGAGATGATGATTCCCATGTCTAATTCCTGCAAATATTGTATTTATTTCTACAGAATTTCGCAGCGGTAAAGCTCCGGTACTGCTTGCTACCGACGTGGCGTCTCGTGGTCTGGGTATGTCTGCTCACAATATCACATTATCGCTGACATGATCATATTTTTGTGTGAAGATTACATTGTTCTGTAAATAACATTTAGTGTATTATTAACTTATAATGAGTAACACAAGTGAAAAGACCTCTACTTTTTGACCAATAGGTAAGTATACTACAGAGGAAACCAGCTAAAGCCTGGTAATGAACTCAATGTAATTCTAGCACAACATTAAATAAAGAATTGTCTTTTTATCAGGGGGATATTATGATAGTTTGTTCATGTCTTTATAATAAATATCACACTAGGTTTTCCCCACAGTATGCAAAGTATGCACTATAATGTGTGAAAATAACAAGGTTTATGATCCATTTGGCACATCAAATTTAAGAATCTCCCGGCCTTTCTATTTGAACCTGACAGTTGAATGAACTGTGCATTATAGCACAGAGGCTGCAGGCCTGCTGGGTTTATAGTCTGTTTCTTGTTACTGCAGTTAAAAATCTTCCTTCACCCGGGGCTCATTGGCACGCTGCCTGAAAGCAGATTCTCCTGTCTGCACACCTTGTATTATGTCTCCTTCATAGTGTCAGTACAAAGTCATTTCAAGATACTGCTCTTATAACCCGTTCCTCCTCATCTGAAACTGTGTAGCTGTTTCATTGCTGTAATGCTGCAAAGTAATACCTACTGTTGTGTTCTGCGGATGCATTTGAGTAGGACAGATTAATAACCGGTCTCAGTAAAGCTTTAATCTGATTTGTTAGCAGGATAAATGTGAGAAGGGGGGATAAGTGAGGTGTCTTTGACTTGCCAAAACAATAAATCCCTATGACCGTGTCCTTGTTCTTTTTCCCCCTCTTCTCCTCTCAGGGTTTGGCAGCACACGGCAGCTGTAAGTGTCTGCGCTGCTGCCCCCCTCACGTCCGCCCCTCAGTCACGATAAAGTAAAAGCTCGGCTAGCTTTAGACGGATTAAAGCCCTGTTAATCTTCTTCAGTTACTATGGTTCCCCCTTAAATCCAACGAGCCTTCCTTGGGAGCAGCCTGAGGTTCCTGTTTGTCTGCTCATCGGTCCGTCCCTGAAAAAAAAAGAGCAGACAGGGGAGAGGGAGTTAAACGGGCTCGTCTGGATCCAGTCCTGGCCGGGGTCTGAGGAGGGTCCTGCAATGCAGCGAGAGAGCAACAGAACCAGCCGTTGAGTTAAAGGGTTCTGCTCCTGTCTGACGTTGCTGGTGTGTGCAGAAGGTGAGGGAGGAGTCCTGTCTCCCTCCCCCTCAGCCCCTCACTAGAAACCAGGACTGATCAGGGGGGACCGACTACCTTTGTAAAAAAACAACAACAAGACGGGGGTAAGTACCTCTCCGGCCCTTTCTCTTATCTCCTCCATGAGCTCACCATAACATCCAGGTACCTTCCTCGTGCTCAGATTTCAATCAAAAGAAAGGCACATCGTCACTCAGTAGCTCAGGGTTGGTGATGTATCTTCCCTCTGTCATGATGGAGGGCAAAAGGTCCATTTATAAGTCATAAATCAGCAGTGCTGTCCGAGCCCCACCTCTTCTGTAATAAGAAACAGACGGAACAGATTGGTTTGAAGGTTATGAAGCCGAAACATGGTTCTGAACAGCCTAAAAAACCTGCAGTCAAACTCAGTTTGATCAACTGTATTAGTTTGAAATCAGTTATAATGGTGGTTAACTGAAAATAATCTACGTAAGGATGCATGGAGTTTTTGAACAGTGTCTGACTGAGCAGGTAAGTAACTCTATTTATTTAGATCTGTATTAAAGTGACATGTTATGTCTTTAATTGAATGCATACATATACAGTTAATGTATATTATGTACTTAAATTCAAATAATCAGCTCTTTAAGTGGAATTTAAATTGTTTCTCCAGTAGCTTTTTTATAACATATTTTAAATGTCCCTCATTGCTGATAAAGATGTGGAAGATATCAAGTTCGTCATCAACTATGACTACCCCAACTCCTCTGAGGATTACGTCCACCGTATTGGACGTACGGCCCGCAGCACCAACACGGGTACAGCTTACACCTTCTTCACCCAGGGGAACTGTCGACAGGCCCGGGACCTGGTCCGGGTTCTGACTGAGGCCCGGCAGGCCGTCAACCCCAAACTGCTCCAGCTGGTGGATTCAGGGCGTGGTGGAAACGGTAAGCACAATAACTCCCAAAATGATCATCGTGATCGTGGTGAACTTCTTCTTTAATGTATCACAGTCCATCATATTGTTGAATGGAAGAGATCAAATAATACTGACATTTATCTTCATTACAGGCGGCAGAATGCGTTACCGTGGCAGCAGCTCCTACAACTCCAACAGCATGTACCAGGGGGGTTATGATCGCCGGACATATGGCGGTAGTGGTGGCAGCAAAGATGGCGCCAATGGCTTCAGCAGTGGCGGTCGCACCAACCATGATGCACCAAACCACTCCTCTTCCTCCTCCTCTTCCTCCTACAGGGACAGAAGCCAGGGGCACAGGAGTAGCTACAACTCTGGTGGCTCCGATCAGTTCCAGAGCTACAGCGGCAGCGGGGGCTACAGCTCCCGCAGCGGAGGCCCGCCCCCTGGAGGTCAGAGCAGCCAGCTGCAGGGTCAGTTTGCCCAGCCTCCTTCTGCTCCTCCATCAGCGGGGGGGCCAATTCCTCTGATGGCTCGGCCCTTCGCTCCTCTACAGCTACCGCTTAAGGGCATCATGGGGCAGCCTCCTTACCCTTTTGCTGCTCCACCCGCTCCTCCTTCAGGCCCTCCACCTCCCCGAAAGTAGAATTATGAGGAAGAGGCGCAGAGTTCATTTCGGCCACTCAGTGTGTTATTTCATTTCTTTGTCTTCTACCAAAGGTGGGGGTTTGAAAAGGCAGTATACGTAAGGATTTAAGGGCTAACATGTTTGTTTGTTCCATATGTTGAACCCACCTTAAACTAGAACCTTTATCCTTCAATTTATTAGACATGATTTCTAATTTCCCAGTTTCATTCAGTTGCTCTCGACCATGTGACCTGGAGGAGCAATTTTGTTCTTTTCATTTGATCACACACTGCAGAAGTTGATAGCTGCTGTAGTCTTTGTTTGGAAAAAAACATCTAGCACACATTACGTGGTGCATGGTGGAACGTGCTGATGTATGGGAATTTCTTTCATTCTGTATAAACCGTCCCATTCCAGCGTCAAGTGTTCTAGCTTCATCACGTTCTACATGTTAGACTTGTTTTGTTCTTCTATCATTTCATTGAGTTTATGTTTGTGTTATTCTGAATGCTGAAGCCGTTTATCTTCTTTTGATACCGTGAAACCACTATTTGACTTATTCCTATCCTCTATCAATTTCAAACGTATGCTTCCGTTTACTTGTAACCTTTTAACTCTTATTTCTTAAATAAGCATCATAACTAAGGCTGAATTATTTTCAAGACTGTTGACTTGGTTTCTTGCTTGTTTTTTTATTAATTCTGTTCTTAATTTCTTAATAAATAACAGAATCAAAGCGGTTTCTCCTTTGCAAATCATTGTTCATACCATTTATGTCAGGTACAGTCCATACAAATGACTTTATTGGCCTTTAATACATATATTTGTAGTACATTCTCAATGTGTACCCAGCAATATGTACATGGTTGTTGCTTTTACTGATAATATACATCATGGCATGAAGCTTTTATTTACATAAGGAGCACAAATGTAAATGTCCCTTCCTCCCAAATACACAGTTCTCATGTTCTGGGTCTTAAGCTACATGTTTTAGTTCCCTACGTTACTTTGTTTTGCTTGCTCTAGTAAATATGGGCCCACCAGTCTGATTTATTCAAGGATGGCAGCTCTTCCATGCATCTAATCATTGTTGCAGTGTACTGCAATCTGAAGCATATAGGTACTTTTAGTAAAAGATTGATGTGACCAAGGATGGGTGTTATGTGAACCTGCAAAAACATGACCTTTTAGCGTACCCCTAAATGCACCTCTATACAAATTAAAATGTTTGGCTGCAAATGCATTGGTCATCCAATTTCTCCTGGTCATAGTATTGGTGCGATAGTTGGTTCTGTAAGTAAGGTTGCATCAGTGCAGACATATAGATGCCGTGCTGATTTACTACTTTAAGGCCAAACACTCCGATTAAAGTCCAAATAGCCATATTCTCATTATTGCTTCTCCAGTCAAAGAAAGGGCCAGCGCACATCCTAAAGAAAAGGATACCATGGAGAAGATAAATGCTGCAATACATGTCATTTTTAAAGGGGCCCTATGATGTTCAGGTTCATATCAGTATACTATGTAGTGTCTCTGTGTCTCCATGCTTTAATGTTCAAAAAGGTTGTTTTTGTTCTCATGTGCTGCAGCACCTCTTTTCACCCTCTGTCTAAAACCAGAGCCCAGTCTGCTGTGATTGGTCAACCGCTCAGAGATGTCCTGCCCTTAAGCCTATCAAATGCAATGTGTTGGAGGGCTAGCCAAAAGAAGTGCGAGTGTTACATAGTGATGTCTTTTTGTTACGGAACTGAAAAAAGGAGTCCAAATGACGTGTTTCTGGAGGGGGGGTCGGGGGGTAGCCTTGTAGGCCATTGACATGTGCACAAATACCTATATAACACACTGCAGGAAAGGGAATACCCAGAAAAGCATAATTTGGCCCTTTTAATCGATGGCAATGAGTCAACAAGATAAGTTTGTATCTGACGATGAAGTCAAACCTGTGAGGCCGCTCAATGCATAGTTTACATATATCGTGCACAAGTACATTATTTACAATCTGCTTGAATGATTGAAAAGTATATACTGAGGCGACATTTGTCTCATTATTGCTTTCTTACTTCCTGTCTGGTGTTACTGTATCTGTAAATAAATATAGGCAAATCTCTATAGAAATGAAATAAGTCAGAATAAGGAAGCAGCCTATAAAACAGATTAATGGCACTGTGATGAGGATGTAAGTTGATCTACCATCAGGTTTATATCTATCATTATTACTCCATGGGTAGTTGTTCAATTGATCCCACACCATATTTAGAAACTGAATCTCTTACTGTATCCTTATTGTTGTAACACACGTGTTATTTTAGAAACGTTTTCTCTCAGTTGGACCCAGTCTGCCTCCATTACCAATTTATTGTAGCCTTTTATGACCCTAAAAGTGCTCCAATCAACTCAATAACCGTGGATGATTAGGATGATTCAGTAACGTTTGTCTCACAAAGTATTTTCTGATAAGAACATTTGAAAAGAGAAACTGAATCATTTGTTTACATATATGTACAAAGCAAAATAAAAATCATAACTCAGGCACATGTGGTAGAATCAAACCGGATGTCAACAGTGATGTCCCTCTTTGGGTGGAGCCACAGTAACACAGCAGTAAAAAACAAAAAAACAATGTATGGAAATATGGAATGGTTTCATGTGCAAAATTAAAACAAGTGCATGAACGATTGTTTTGTGTAAAATAGCCTAGAGTGAAAATATCAAAACAAGTTTCCCAATCTTTTTTAAAAGATATAATTAAAATAAAATATAATTTAAACGGGGTCAGATTTAGCACCCTTCAAAGACAGACGTAATTAATTAAGTCAATGACGTTTGAATTCCATAACACCTGCACGTTTCCTGCTCTGACACAAATATAACAACAAAGGCAATCACTTAAAAGTACCAATATATCATTTGTGCTCCCAGGACACACCTATGTTGATACTTTTCCAGTTATTACTGCATTTCAGATCAACTCTGAACAGTAACAAAAATCATCACCAAGTATTCAAAGTGATGTTTAAATTGGGTTTCTTCATTTCCCTACGCCACTTGATTTCTGACTGTTGTATCCCATATTGCTGCAGCTGCTTCTTGAACACTGAAGTAGTGCTGAAACCATTTTATAGGACATTTATTTAAATAAATCTTACTGATCATAGTTTGAATACATTGGGTGTTTTGGCTCTTGGTCATACTGTAAACATCACTTTAAGCATGCAACTGAAAAGCGGTTTTAACAAACGGAAAGAAAATAATGATAGCAACCCAGAACACTCAAACCCTCTGATTGTGGGACATGTTAGCCCAAAGTGGAAAAAGGTAGGAATGTGCCTTACTTCAGAGTTGATTGGGTTTTGTAAAAAAACTGAAATAATGCAAAACACCAGCTGTTACATGTATTTCACATGACATGCAACATCTGAGAGGAGTGCTTGTTATGTGGACAACTGCACACATTCATTTTTAAATAGGCTCCACTTGTTTCCCCATTGAATCTTTTCTCTGGCAGTTTGCGTTGGAATGATTGAAGAAAAAGCATGTACGAAACACAGGAAGGCGGAGATGATGGAATAAAGACAGGAAGGCTGCGAAGGAAGGCACAAAGTAGAAGCTGGAGCCACGACGGTTTCATTTCAGTTTGTATCACCAAACCAGGGTTTGAAACCGTTCAGTGAGGGAGAGGCCGTCCCGCCTCAAAGCCAGCGATGAGGGACAACTTCAACCGAAATCTAAAAGGAAGCAGCAGCAGCAGCAGATCATGACAGGAGGTCGGCCTAAAGGCTCCCCCAGGTGTGGGGGGGCGGGAACTGGTCCACGTCTCCGGATTCATCGTGAGATGTGTACCCTAGGTTGAACGTCAGCTTGTAACGCAGACGTACTTTTTCCTGAGAGGAGAAAACGAAAATCAAATCTGATTAATGTTGCAAATCTCAGTCACTGCTTGAAGGTGCAATATCGTCTTCCAAACGCATTGCTTTTGACCTTGAAGTATGTTATTCAAAAACACATTAGCAAAGATGAATGTAAGGAGGATATGGTTTATGTCGCCCTCTTGTTCCTACAGCATGTACATGACTACGAGTTAATAACCTTCAGTGAATATATATAGAGCTGTTTTTTCTTGCAAAAAGAAAAGTGTATCAATGCAAAGACTATTATTGTGTCCAATGACGTGACGTATTTTCGACAAAACAAAGCTAGGGAGTTAGCATTAGGAACAGGAACTCGTGAAAGATATGGTTTCGAAATGTATCAAAGAATTTGAGTTTGACTTTTAGATGATGTGGTCTTTAAAAAATCTTGGTATTTAGAAACTAGATGATATGTTGATATAATAATATGTTGATAATGATATCAGACTTATCGCCCTGAATGAGGCCTACACTAACGGATGAAAATGATTTCTAAACGGGTCGGATGGCAGAGTACCTTGTGAGGATTGGCCAACAGCAGGATCTGTGTGATGACAGCTGGAGGCAGGATGGGGTTATAGGCAGGGAGCTCTGTGCTGGAGGGCGGCTGCAGCTTCACCTTCATCACCTAGACACAACCAAAGCAAAATGTTATTTAAGTCAAAATAAATGTTTTCCACCTGACTTTTACATCATGGTCTATTACAGGCTGGGAAGGGAGGGCCTACCTTTGGTACGGCCGCCTGAAAGCGGATGTTGGTGACGGGGATGGGGGCGGAGGACAGCATGGAGATGATCACCACCAGCACCTCGGGCCGGGATGGAGGACAGTCATGAGCAAAGGTGAATAAAACCCGGAGACTGTGTTTGTCGAACACAGTCACTGGTAATAAGCTGCCTGGAATATTATAGTAGGGAGAAAAAACAACAAGAGATTGTGATGCAGAGGAAAATCAAAGAGAGAAAAAGTGTCTCTGATGGGCGTTGAATGCTCACTAGGCTTGATTGCTTCCAGAGGCACGGTAACATCAGCTAGAGAGATGTTGTCGTAGGGGTCAGCAGAAACGGCCAGACTGAGATTGGGGAGGAGGAGAGAGTCCGGAGGCTCTGATTGGACAGCCATGCTGAAAGTGGGCACAGGAGCAGGAGCGGGATTGGAGGAGATGGAGGTTGCTTTAGGGTTGGCGTTGGACTTGGTCTGCATGTCTCGTAAAGTGACTCTGGATTGAGGTTGGAGTTTATCCCTGCATGTAGAAAACACACATATGTCCCTTCAACAAGTGATTTACTACTGCTCTGTATTAAATAACAGTTTAGGGCTATGAACAGTGACATGACAACATTCAGGGACACTTTGATTAAACTGCAGGCTGGACAAGAACGCTTGAGAAATTGTAAATAGTTCCAAAAGAAAAATCATATTTTTGCCAATATATTGGTACAATTTGTGGGAGACTTGAACATTTAGAAAAGAAAATTCAAATCAAATATATGTTTGAAGTCACTGTACTAGGAAAATTACAGTTTCATTTTCAAAACTCTGACATTCCTTGAATTAATATTATCGGAAAATACTTCAGATGGAAAAGTAACAAAATATAAGCTCGAAATATTGATATTTAAATTAAAAAACAGTATTGAAAATATCTCAAATATCACCAGACTCAAACAGTTTACTCTAACCAGACTAAAATAAAGTATTAAATGATGAGCAAACACACCACCTCATTTTGTCTCCGTGTTATATTTCAGGCCAAATTGAGGAGATTGTGATGGGAGCAAAAACCTGTTTAACTAACCATTTGACTTGCTGGCTCTCTGGAGGAAGGGACTGCTGTAACAAGGTCTTCCCCAACAGGTCCAGCCCTTCTATGGGTTTGGGTGGAGCAGCGGGGCCGCCTGCTGGTGGAGCTGCTGTTTGGACCACAGCGGGCTGCAACACTGCAGGGCCCAATGCAGCAGAGGACTCTGTGCCATCAGAGGACTGAGGGGACAAACAGAGGGTTAAGGGATGTCTGTCAAAAACTATATAAGAAGTCCGAGATGATGTTAGAACTGTTTGATAATGAAAGCGGTATTAAAGCCTTTATGTGGAGTATTTGTCAGCGACTAAGACATATTTTCCTTATTCAATTTGACATACATCGGCTTTCAACTTGAGTAGAACAGTTTTGTCTTAACTTACGTACCTGAAAAGTGTTCTGAGAGTCAAAGTTCTCCGTTAGATTCAATCCTAAAAGATCAGAGACAAACACAGGTTATTTCAAATGCAGTCAAACGTATGGTAACATATGACAATTGTAACTGTTCAATTCACTGCTAAATCACATCTGATGTCAGATTCTGTGACGTGTAAGGCTAAATCTAAAAAGGCTGTGAATGTGTGATGTGGTTTAGCCAGATGTTGGGCTACATCTGGCTAAACCACAATGTGCTTACACTGCTGGCTCAAACTCTTTGGCTTGTTAAAAAAGTAAAACTTAGTAATCTACCTTAGCGCTTACAAGCCAGATGAGTTTTATGTGCTTACCTAGTGACATGAGCTCATCATCCAGGAGGCTGATGCCCATGTTCTGAATGAGGGTCTGCAGGCTGAGGGGCTCTGGGTCGGATGGTGCTGTGTTTGAGGATGCGTTAAGTCCCATCAGGTCTACGAGAGCTGAGCTACTGCCGCCTGAAATCAAGATGAAAAAAGCCATTTATGATCTTAATGTCTTAATGTCTATAGCAGGGGTCGGCAACCTTTTTGATATGAAGTGCCATTTAAAAAAAATTTTTTATCAGCGTGCCAACGATCGAGAATTATCAACGGGGGGGGCTTGTGAACCATCAGCAGGAGGGCGGGGGAGCCTCGCTGCGGGGAAGCAGTGTGTGGACCTGTCAGCGCAACTTACATGATGCTTAATTTAACAAACACATTTAAATAATTGGTTTAAATGGCATAATAATAAGGGCGATCGTCCGTTCTGTGATTCTCCAGAGCACACATGTTATGATATTAGGGTCATGCAGAGTGAGATCGCTGTCCCTTTAAAAGAGAGAGAGAGAGAGAGAGAGAGAGAGAGAGAGAGAGAGA